GAGGTATCTCCCTCGAATATAATCAAAATAAAATTCTCCTTCCCTGAAACTGCATTCATTTTACAATAGATATTCGAAATTCAGGCCTCCTATAAGACAGGCCAAATGAAATCACATTCGACAGCAACTGCCAATATATTGAGGTTTTGCGCTATGATCGAAATAAATTTTTTGGCACTCTTGAAATAGGTCATATTTTTTTCGTGGAAACTGTTCGCATGTGAGAAGAGGAGTCTTTAAACCCCTTTTACAGACGTACGGTTGGGTTGAGCTTTTTCTGCAATTATCTTAATGGCACAACTCTGATTGTCGTTTTTTTCTGTGAAAAAAACAGTATGCAGACTGTAAATTATTGTTTGATTTTATTCAACTTTCAATGTGCAGTTGTTCATTCAATGAATATGAGCGAGCATTTGAAGTGAAAAACATAAAATGCAAGAAAAAATATTCCAAACCACCACTTCATTCCCAACTATTTCACTCACGTTTTCATATGACTCTAAAGAGTTGTGATAGTGAAATCTAATCGTAGGTTAATTACGACAGTGAATTGAAGAGGATGAATGAATAACGTTAAATGAATCAACTTCAGAATATGGCAACACTTACGAGTGATACTTTCGCGATGCACGACGGTGACGAAGTCTTTGATTGTGAATTCGCAATCTCAGCATCAGTCGAACTGTCAAGATTTTGTGTTGAAACAGTGCTGTTGTGACTATTCTTTGTTTTCTGCTTTCTTTTAGACCTGAATTGNTTACAATTAGACGAATTTGGATTGTTTCAGTATTGATGAAGAATTATTATCGAGTTCGATTGGTTTATTGTGTGTTTTATGAATATCAAGTTGTTCAGGAATACATCTTGAAAGGTGAACACTCTCATGAAATTTAGAGATGAATCGACGCCATTAGTTAGAGAATATCACTGCGTATCGTTTTATTACTGTTATGCTAATTCTAGTTAGAAATAACTCGATTACTGCATTAAATCGAGCTAATAAAGGCATGCAAATCCGAATAGGAAAATGCCATAATGATTATTCTCCACAAGACTTACCTATTATTCCCATTACCCATTGAAAATAATACCAACAGATCGAACGGAATCAAACAATATCGCCCTTCAAGACAGTGAATTAATTCTAATAAAATTAACTGAAACAGCTACTGTTAGGCGAATTGGGAAGATATTCAACGATAGTAAATGCTGGTGATAGTGATGAACAACTCGCAGAAACAGCTCGCAACCAAACACTGAAGCAATAACAACTTCAGGTGAATAATCAATATGAATAGATCGTACCTATCATCGATATTCTTTCACGAATATTTCGATAATAGCTCTTCAAAATAGTCCTTATACACTTCATTACAACTTTTTGTTCAGGTTGACTTGGCATACAGATAATATTAGCAGTGTTAATTTATTATCAGTGTGTATTTAGAATAATTGTTGTGAACGTGCTGAACTCACCACATCAGCAGATGAAACTCAAAGTATTTCTGCATAGAGCTGATGAGGCAAAAATGCTCATGCAGCAGTTTCATTTAATAATATTAGATTTTGTAACGAACGATATTGGATTTCATTTAAGATACTTTTGAAGGAATCTAATCTGGATTCATTACAATGAACGTATCTTTTAAAGAAAGCCTTAAGCTGTCTCAATTGCTAGTCTCGAACTGAACGTTGAAAGCTTTCGCTGTTGGCTCGAAGAACGGAAATAAGCAGGATGGTTGGAATCGGGAGGTATAGAGATACACCAAATTGAATTTTGATGCGTGCAAACGAAAGAAATTGAATAGATGACTGATGGCCGTGGCTCTTGAATGAGCGACATCCAAGAACGACACATGAAAAGTGCTGCTAACATGAGCGTATTGCTTAGTGCAAGAATTGCAATCTAATCTGAAAGCATTGCATTCAAGCAGAGAATTTCTACACTATAAATTGCTATAAATTTCCAATATCCTATATCAGAGACTAGATTCTCAACGAGCAAACTCAGTCTCAATGACATAATGCTGCATTCTTTCGTTTCGTAAATTCTCATGCCTAATTTTGAGTTTCCTGTTGGATTACTCATAGTTGCAAAAAAATGTCATGTAACCATAGTCAAAATAATACGTTTGACTCGTTCCGCTGCAAGTTTACATTGAATTTGGGAAATAATTGAAAGTTAAATTGTATGATGAAGAAAAAACGCAGCAATAACAAGAATGTGCACAGTACATGCATATTACATCTACGTTCCATACGACATGTTTACTTTGTGCAATTGTGCGTACGGGTTTATGGAACGATGGATGGTTTTATTTGTTCACCGCGTAGTCTATTTTATTATTAATGATGCGAATTTTTACAACGATCACTTATCGAAATCACGTTCCAGATACTCATCGAATTTGTCCAAATCGGAACAATGCGATCCTCAAATAACAATTAAAAACAATCATCGGGAATGTTCAGAACAAATCTAATACGATCTACAACAAATCAAGCGTTGTATTCCAACAAATTTGTGATCAAATTCGGTTCAAACTTTCTGATTTGATTGTTGTTTTCAAACAGTTGTTTCGTTGCATTACAAACCAAAAAGTCAACATTGTTCGGTCGACTCTTATATGCCAATGAAACATAAGCATATACATAGCTGAATTACAAATGGATGCAAACAGAAGGATGCAAAAGGATGCAAAGGATGCAAACTTCGTAAACTAAATTTAATCAAATTACCGAATCAGCAAAANAAAACACCAAAATAAACTGAATCAAGCACAAATTACTGATTATCATTAGCATTGTGTTATGGCTGAAGTATCGACGTGCAACGATCGCACCAAACAAGGATAATCACTCATTATCTATCGCTACAATTGCACAGTCAAATCACATACACCTCAGTGCTGGCACGGACATCACCAAACATATTTAAACAACATTCGATTTCAAGCGCAATTTGCTGCCGAATCGAGAGATTCGATAAAATTTCAGGTATTACGAAAAGCAACAGTGCAAGACGACGAATTGATGATGAAAATAAACGAGAAGTGGTATGAATCCAATGAGATGAATCTTCATTCATTGTCATACGAACAGAAAAACACTTGGATAGAAGTGTTCAAATCAGCAGCCAATGGTGACAACAACACGAACGGACGGCAATGCGTGATTATACGAACGGACGGACGGACGCTGCTGTAAAAAGTGCATTTTTGAATAAATTTCCATGAGATTGTCGTCAGTCATGTCGATTCGATTCTCATTAAACCATAGACGATTAATATTATCATACATCATTGTTTTATATTTCAATTGGCACTCCGTACATTACACACATACAGTTTGCAGTATATCCATTCGATACATTCTAATTTAACAAACCATTTGTTTTTTATTTGTAACAATAACAATGTTAATAATAATTATAGTAATGGCAATAAAAAAGTATTCATTTGGCTCGCACAAAAATGCAATGGCGACTGTGAAGCAATGTTATTTGGTTGCGTATCTGGGAATCGAATTGTGATGTGACAACGATGCGTTGCAATTTCAATACACATGTACGTATTGTGCATCATCGATTCAGAAGTAAATACGAGCATCATTCAGATTTTACATATGCATTGAATGTTCGTTCGTATGAACGCATGAAAAAATCTGTTTTAAATGAATAGTATTATGGTCGCATCCAAACAACATTACTTACTTATTATGTATTATTCGAGTAGTAGTCTATCAAGTGAATAGTGAATGAAGTGCGTACTAGCGATTTATTTATTTATTTGCAGTGAGCAAAGCGACTAAACTGAACTAGCGAATTGGCCGCAATCAAATCGATCGAAACTGAGCGAGGCAATTTCTCAGTCATCCGGAATCGAGGAAAACATGCCTGAACAAGCTGTCAGGATCCGGAATAGCCAAACAAGCGAGCAAAGGAATTAGAATCTATTGCCAGAGGAACGTTGTCTAACTTGACTCCTTATAGAATGTTGTTTTGACTAGGACATATATTCCGAAAGCAAAAGTTGAAAACCTAGAAAGGAGCTGAGAAAATGTCAAATCGGAAACAGGTAAATTGAACTTGCCAGCTGCGTTGCTAACGTGTTGGAAGTGTGCATGGTCTCTCAGCATGCTGAGATCTCTCACAGCAGGGATCCCAATAGAGGTGGAAAGAAATTATCCATTTTTGTGTAATTCGGGGGAATCATGGGGCAATTGAGAAGCCGGGAAATTAGAGTTCTGATGTTATGCATAGAAATAGTATTATTGTAGCGGGAAGAGGGAGGGGGTTATGGTGGCCTCGAAGGGACCAATGGAGCACCCGAGCGTAGTGACCACTGTTCTATAGTATTCAGTTTGCTTGCTTATGAAATTCGAATACCATTTAAAGTTGAAGACAGTCATGACATACGGTTTCCAACGTGCTTACACCCATCAACTAAAATTTCTCGTAAGCTCAGCTCATTACAGTGCAATTTGATAAACGCTCCGCTCTATGTTTTTCTACAAAAGAAATTGAAAACGGCGTTCATTTCTGTCAAAAAGATAATGTTTTTGTCGTATGATTGATTATTCATAAACTTTCTGTTTTGTGACCTACTTTTAATTCTGTTTTTCAAATTTGTTTCGACGAATTTCGCTTTTTTTCCGATGGGAGGGGAAAGGAGGGCGAAGGGAGCTTCGCAGTATAGTACGCGGAATGGTAATGATTCTAAGTTTTTCAAACATACAGACGCATCGAAAGCTCTCAACTGGATTGCATGATAAAACTACATTAATTATAATTATTCACATTAATCATCCAAATGAATAGTTCCAGTATATAGTGTACAAGCTCATAAAATAGGAAGGAAAGCAATTCATAACACTGACAAGTACATCACTCATCTTCAAAAGTGCATCTACAACAATAACACAACAATATTCAATAATGAAGCCTAGACCAAATGAACAATGGCACAAGTTTCGAAACTAATTCAGCAAAAGAAAAATGCAACGTCTGAAGAATTATGATAGCTGTGAAGTGTTCGTTCACAACTTGCGAATGCATTGGACTAGACAACTCCATCCACAAGACTGAGACATCAAATGAAATCGTGTTCATCGAAACAGATGCAAAAAAAGCCACAAGCATTAATCAGATTAAAAAATGGTAACGTAACAAAGCATGCACACATCAAAAAACGCATTCTTTTTGATTACGAAACGATTAATTTTCAATCAAAAACTATCATTTAATGATGATGATAACAGTAATAATGATATGTGATAATGACATCACATAATTACTCAGGCTGATCTCTAAAACAGTAAGAACAATTCAAAAGCGATTATGACTTCAATTCCATAATCGTTTTTCATTGTTCTAAATACCATTTAAGACTTTCATTTTGTGATTTTTAATCGCAGTTTACATTCGACACAATCGAAAAGAGACGACTTCCAAATGCTCCTTTGGCGATAATTTATTCACTTTTTTCAGGCTTTCGTCATTATTTTGCAAAGACTAACAGAGCCGCTTTCGAATGAATCGATTTCCATTCATTTCATAACGCAACAAATAATTTTTCATACGAATCCATCAAATTCTTGAGGAGAAAATTGTATTGTCGCTCGATTCACAGACACATTCCATTGCTCGGTAGCTGATTGTGAGCAAGTTCGCTTGATTCAATCGAAGAGCCTAGAGATAAGCGATGATCAAGTCAAATGTAGTCGCTGCGAAATTGATCAAACGAGAA